TACCGCACTGTTCTGCTGTGATGATAAAGCCAAAGTACCAATTGGTGAGCCTAATGTGCACATATCCACAGGAGTTCGTGGGAAGAAAACTATAATACCAACTGGGACCACATTGGCTGCATGCGACCATGATCTTCATCAGAAAGGCAATTTAACACCCTCAGTTTATCTTCACTGTGAAATACCCCAAGACATTAAAGGGTCCTTTTACAAAGGAGTAGTGACTGTATTCATGAATGATTCTGTGTTCCAGGCTTCAGGGCCTATGAGACATGCCACTGCGATAGTAAAGCAAGTTAAAGACTTAGAAAACAAACCATCTGTCATACTGAAGTTCACAGATGGAGGTTCTGACCACCGAAACAATCTTAAAAGTGTGAAAGTAGCAGCCATTTGTATTTTCAAAGAGCTTGATTTGGATTTCTATGCTGCTGCAAGATGTGCCCCTGGACATAGTTGGACAAATCCTTGTGAAAGAATGATGTCAATCCTTAACATTGGTTTGCAGAATTGTACATTATCTCGAAGTGAATGCAGCGAGGCAATAGAAAAAGTTTTGAGATCCTGTAACTCAATGGATAGTATCAGGAAAGCTGCAGTCAAGACACCTGATCTCAAAGATGAGTGGGCTTCTTCCATTGAAATACCACTGCAGATTGTTGAAAGCCGTTTTCGCCGACTTTCCCTTAAAGGAGAGCCAGTAAAGGTCAGATCGTCACTTGGAGAGGAAGAAATTGATCTGCTCTCTAGACATGCAAATCACCTGTTTCCTGATCTGGATTTGACCAAACTTGTGAAACTACATACCAGCAAGGTATTATCATATACAGCCTGGCTTGAGAAACACTGCCGTCAGCGTCATTATATTTTCCAGATAAAGAAGTGTCAAGACATAGAATGCTGTCGGCCTCCAAAGGAAAATTATGACTTCATCCCTGATCCAACCTTAGCAGATGATGGTGAACATTATGAAAAATTTGAAACTGTCTATGGTACAGAGACATCTGAGAAAGACAGACCTACCCTGAACAAACCCAAGACGAGGATAAATCAAGACGAAAATCCAGTTGGAGCAGAAGCACCAATCCAGACCACTTCTAACAGGACAAAGAAACAAACAGATGGTTCCAAGTCAAAAAACTTAGTACCAGATGATCCAAAACTGAAGGGGGATGCATCTATGTTTACTGGACAAAATGCAAGATCAGTAATCACATGTGATGAATGTGATAAACCTAGAATTATTTACAGCAAGGTCAAATTTTCGAGAACACAGGATCTTCAGCTAGCTTGCCTTTTATCAGAGTACCAGTATACATGTGGATCACCACTGACCCCACCAGACAATAGCCTTAATGGCACTGCATTGGTTAGACTAAACATAGAGTGCTCTATCCCAGTAGAAACTTCTTTTTACAGTTCTTCCTTAGCCAAGCTTGATACTTGCTATTACTGTGCTGAAAGTGGGGCAGATATAGATAAAGAGTTAAAAAGGTCGTTCAGAACTGTGCTTCCTGTGTGCAACACGTGTTTAAACCAAGGATTTGAATACCCTTGTTTCAGACCCTTTGGTCCAGGGTTAGAGTTTGATTCTTGGTGCTTTAGGATATGGGAGATCTTAAAAATTTACCATTGATTTACAACTTACCCATGGTTAATTCTTTTAGCAATTGTTCAATGTCTCTGTATGTGACTTTTTCTCATTTCATCAAAAAGCTATTGTCTTTGATATGTTGATGTATACATGTATGTATCAGATTGAATTAAACAGTATTTGATTGACAAGGGTGTCTTTTTACAAATAGAAGTGTTTGCACTTTTTATGTGAACCAGTGTATCAAAGTTGCAAGTCAAAATTATAGACTTTGTTAAATTGTACCATAGTGTCAAAATATACACTTTGCAATACTGTAAGAGCTTCAATATGTCAGCACTACAATTTTTAATTCAATGAAATGTGCAGTATTTAACACATGAACTATTATCAACGTCTAGATTTTTGAACTAAAACTTTGAAACCCAGATCACAGCATGTCATTTTAGGTCTTTTATTGTACTTAACTCCTACAATGCTAGCAGAGGATTGATCTGCTGTTTGCAACCAATATAGACACAGATCAGCAGACTTGCAAGCTGATGAGAATCTGCACTGTTTGCTGTTCATGTTAGAGTCAAACTTTAAAGTAGTGCCTTTAGTTAACAAACATCAAAATTAACACATGTTTGAGTATATTGTCTTTATTCAATATTGAAATAACATTAAATGGCATTAAAGCTATGCAGATTTTAATCAGAATTATTGTATATATGATAAAATATGATAATACAAAGTCAGGCAATGACAGTAGTGTAGGAAAGACTGCCATGTGCAAGAAAACGCTCCGAACTTAAGATAGATTTTGAAAAAAAAAATAAAAAAAATAAAAAAAAATCCCTACCTACCCTACCTAGCAATTTTGGGAAGGTTACCCTAAACAAACAATTTTTTTTTTTTTGGCCTAATAATCGAATAATTTGGCCATTTGTACGGTTTGTTTACATTTTTTGACAACAACATCAACAACCTACTGGTTTCCGGTGTTTGGAACAGGTGCGACTTAATTTCGCGCCAAAATTGGGCCCACAGAAAGTCTCACTGAACTATTAATTGAAATATAAACTAACACTTGGTCACCGGCATCATTATATCTATTATCGATCCATTATCCAACTTGAATAAAATTTTGAAATCATTTGTTGTATCTCCGTCTTTTTGCAACTAGTTATGTTTGTTTATAAAGCAAAATGAACGGTATATGATACATTTGAAAACCACATTGCTTTATTAAAATATCATTTGCAATTGTTGCTACAATTTTGTTAATGTATAAAAGATTTTGAAGGCAGAATGAAAGTTGCCCTGATGTTTTATTTTAGTTTCATTACAAACTCTAATAGATCTTATTGAAGACTGTTAAGTACCGAATAAATTAATCAAATCTGACTCTAAATCGCTAAAGATAGAAGTTTCTAGTCATATAATGATGTTTAATAAATTGGTTAGGTAACTTGAAATAGTTCACTGAGATTTGACAAATGTTTTCTTACACTACTGTTGACATACATGTTAGCCACGACTCAAGGAAAAGCAAAATGCATGTGAATGCAAAATGGTACCTATATAAAATGAGCTAGATAATCGGAAATAAGTCTTAAGAGATGCATAAAAGATCATGACAGTGCAAAATACAAATAGTTCAACATTTTCTGGTAATTTCCATGCTTGTTCCTGTGACGTCATCATACGTCACTGGTCTATTTTTAGAAATGCCCACGACTCTTGGTAAATAAAGCATACAGACAATTAATTAAACTAATTAACAACAATTTATTGAATTAAACAATTATGAAACCCTTTAATTCTTTAAATAATTATTTATTATCTTTTGACTTCTTGAACTATTTAGAAATACGTTAATGTTTTTAAAGGTGTAACAAACAATAAAGGCAGGTTAATCCTTAATTTATAAAACATACCACTAAAACTTCTTGATTAATAAAAGTTAATTACAATTATTCCTTAGAAAACATTATTTTTTATCTTAATTAAACTATAGGCCTACCTATTTTTTTCAAGTAATAACTAATAAACTGTTTATAGCTTTATATAAGTAATATCAGAGAAAAACTTCAAAAGATTAAAAAAAGGTTTGCTATAATCTTCTGATATTATTTTTAATTTTTATTGTTATTAGATAATGATAGATGCTAGATGTTATAAAAGTGATTGAAAGACTGAAACCAAATCATAAATGTACCTGCTATATATTTATTAAAAAGTTTAATCAAACAATGTTGACAGTGACAAAAGAATTATAGATATTATGGCTTCTGTTTTCTTTTCATTGTAAAATTACATGACCGGATATTTCGATTTTCACGTGCATGAACAACTAACTTTCCTTACCTGATAATTAAATGTGTTAGATTTTTCAATATCAAGGAAATAATTACAAGTAGCTATTTATTATGAGATACATGTATACATAAACATTGAAGTTAACATTAATTGCAACAAGTATCTAATCGTTGATGGTTTTAGTAAAGATTTAATCTTTTACGTAAAATATATAAGACGTTTCGTAAATCTTTCAAGGTACTTGGAAATTGGCGTTCCACTTCATGAAAATTGTCATTTATGATTATTATAACCATGAAATTTAAAACACAGTACTTATTCTGGGGCCGATTTGGTAAAGGGCCGAAACGTCTGGGGCCGAAACGTCTTGGGTAATTTGGGGCCGATATGTCTTGGGGCCGAAACGTCTCGAAATCGAAATGACATTGACAGAGAACATGAAAATCTTTTGACATTCAACATTTATTTAACGGTAGTAATTGATAGAAATTAGTGTCTGCAAGAACTTGACTGCTTTTTGGAGAGTCCAATCAAATGCACGAGCTGTCATTCACGACCGGAAATGACGCCACGAAAATATGAGAACAAGGCATAAATGTATTATAAACTCAAATTTAATGACATCACTGTGTTACATACTGGTGAAAATGCCGGGTTTGCCATGATTTAGCATGTCCAGCTATAATCCATGTGTCTATATTTAAAGCAACATATATATTACAGGTGTCAATTTCCTTAATAATTTAGACCCTGCAGTATCCAAAGGTTCCAGTTGGAAATAGAAAAAAAAAAATTTTCGTGATCGTATTTAAACATTTTAACAAACAGGATTCAAGGAATCGGACCACAGTGATTCAAACCAATAAACACGGTATCAATGCAAGATTATTAATCATGAATGAACAATTGCTAAGTATTGTTTGGCAATTTGAACACCCCACCCGCTTCCCACGTGTTACTTTACTCATTTTTTCTCCCTTAATCTTTCACAATAAATTGTACCGTCTACATAAGATTAAAGATAAAGTTTCAATTTATATCAAAACATAACAATTTTAAAGGATATATAAATAATACAAATGTACAGTTAAAATATGTGTACCCAGGATTGTGCATGCGACCCATGTTGGAAATTTAGTTGAAAAGAACCCGTATGTAGCACATGTCCGAAACGTTGCGTAAATTGGGTTAAATGCCGTTCTTAAAAAACGGAATACGGTTTCGCAGTACCACACCGCTTTTTTTCTGTTCATTGAACGCCTTTCCTTGTTAATCTTGTTTATCATATTTTATGTTTTTTTTGTTGTGGTGTCTTTTTTTTCGTGTTGTTGCTATTGTTTTTCTGGCTTTTTTCAAGTGTTTTTTTTTCACATAAATTTGACAGCAAAATATGGCATATTTTTAAGAATTCTACAAGTTTTAACAATCCGATTAGCACAAATGCATTTTACAAATATAAACTGATAGTTTTGTTAACCATTTGAACTCAACAGACACTTTGAATTCATGTGGAAATGTTTATCAAATTTTTATATTTTTACTGAATGATAACTGGCAAATATTGAATCAGGGTCTTTCAAATAAAATATTTGAAAGACCCTGATTGAATAGAACTTCAGTACATTAGCAGTAATTGACCATACAATGTAAATCATTCCCTTGTACTTATCTGAACAAAGGTGTTTGGGACTCTTATTAAGTTCTTTACAGAACTATTTTTTATGTTTAGTCAAACTTTATTTTAAATAATCGTTATTTTTTTTTATCTATTAATGGTAACTTCTTCGACAAATAATAATTCCATCCTAGATTTATTCTGTATTATTTGATGATGGGCCATATAAGGCTAACATTCCAGGTAGACAGATGGTACCACCATAATAAATGTTACTTGTTTATCAATATTCATTAAGAAGATATCGAACAGCTTTCCTCTCAACCTGTTTGATAAACATATACTATGCTCATCTTTTGGTACAATAATTTTATTCCAGAATTTTATTGAAATCTAGGAACTTCTCACTAAATTTGTCTGATCTGAGTAATAAAATGCACAGTCTGTGTTTCGGAAGCTGCATTCCCTATTACTGGTCAAGTTAATTGTGTCGTTTTTAAAATGGCTGCATTTTCTAATGACACGTACTATGCATTCATATTGTCATTATACCTAAAGCGTATAGTATTTGAAATGTAACCTAATATTATCTGTTCTTTGTAAACTCTTAATATGGTTATAATAATTTGAGCATGATGTATCTTAAACTATATTAACATTTTGATAAAAAATAGTCTTGGAACTGATTTGCCTCTCCAAATTTTTTTGCCAAAATACTATTGTAATCATCTACTCTTTAATTTCTTTGGCGTCTAAGCAATGCACAGTCTTTTTTTGTTACGAGAAGTGCACCATCAACAGTGACCCTAGTCTGCGTTATGAAATAAGATGAAGATATAATTCTCGGTTATGTAAATTCCTGGATATACATATAGTGCGTATGCTAAGGATGTGAACATAATCAGGTTTATGCGCCTTGTACACACTGGTAAGACACTCAACACAGTGATGATTTCACATATCTATTTCAGTTTCACCTTCATTGTTAATTTACACATTTATTGAACTGTAAATATATATCTTGTGTCTTGAATTGTTGAAGAATTATTTTCCTCATCTGGAGGCAGGCCACTTTAAAGGACCCATATCAATCACATGTCAAAGAGGCTATTAAAAAAACTATAACATTATGTTACAGGATGACAATATTATAATTATTATTCATTCATTCGTTCGTTCTTTTTTAAACCAGCAGCTTCACATCGCTAAATGCAAACTGTTTCGTTCATTTTATCATTATAATTTTTCATCAAAGTATATAATCGTAGCAGGAGACTCCATTTAGAAGAAATTAAAAATGGGGTGTGGGTGTACGACACAGCCCTTGCATTATTAGGGCATAAACATGTATATATAGCGGTGCGTATTACAAAGGATCAATAGATGATACAAGTTATCTACCATGGTGCTTCTAGTATTTAGGGAGGACTTAAGTTCGTACATCAATAAGAATTATTATGTTATTTTTGGGAAATCGTGACAAACCTCATTTTACATTTACTTAAGCAGTCTGTTTCTATTATCACCAGTAAGCCTTAAGTGCAAAAATTTAAAGCTTACCTATTTTAAAAACTGAATTTATCCCTTTCTAGACTTTCCATATAAGAAACATGTTTTCAAAATTTCATTAAAGAAACAATAAGTCAACTACATACGCTTTCATATATATAAATTTATTTAACAAATATATTTACAAGTAAAGTCAAGTTGTCATTATTATTTTCTCAAAGTAAATCCTACAGTTGGTATGCGGCCTCCAATTTTCTTTGAGCACTTACTTGCCGTACGAAACTTCTTGGTAATTTTTGTCTTTCTTCTAACACAACCACAAAGAATAAGGCTCACCACATTAGCGCTTGTTTTTGTCGGTGCATTCTGGCGTTTTTTATAAAGATCATCTAAAGGATATGGAGTAACACTTTCTGGAGAAGAGGTTGATGAATCAAGCTTAGAATTCGTTTTCACTGTCTTACAATCGAAACATTTCATGTTCCAAGATTTCATACTATAATTATTTTTATTGTACGTAAACATATTTTCCTTCTGTATAACATATTTTTGCATATCTAAAACAGTGTCATCTGAATTGGTTCTCTTTGTACGTCCCAATTTGTTCAGACTTGAAAGATTTCCTTCTGATATTCCATTTGAAAAATTACCAGAACTCGTGATATTGTTATCTTTGTATCTTCCTTTGCCTGCTAGGTCATTTTCGAATACGTTACTAAGAATACTATTCAGAGACTCTGCATTTTGTCTCTTGGCATAATGATTTTCGTTGTTTAAATCAGTCATTGTTTGCACTTTCATGATTCGTAGTCGATTGTCTTCAATCGGATGGCTTAAACCGGTACATGTTGCTGTATTTAGAGTTCTTTCACAATCATAGTGTACTGCTGCATCGTCCATGTCAATAAAGGGTGTTTCAAGGGCATCTGGAAGCTCTTTAGAATCAGTATCTGTTAATCTCTCTTCACTGCTAAAGAACCCAGCATAAGAATATCTTTTTAAAACACTCTCACTGAGTTCTTCTTTTGAACTTTCAGACCAAGTTGTATCAATGCTTGCGCTACCAAGACTAGTGCAATCTGATCCGGTATCATCAAGTTGAAACCAATGTAATGGGTTAATTGCTCTTTTAGGTAAAGAAACTTCAATCGGTTTTTCATAGTCATTTTCTGGTGGTGCATTTTGAACTGTTCCCTTGTGGTGTGAAAACTCTGGTTGTATATCTTGCATTAAAGAGGACTCCGAATCTGATCTTAGATCCGAATATTCAGTACAAATTTGTTGAAGAGCTTGTGTTGGCACGTAATCTATGACTTGTTCGGTTAAATCATTTTTCACCTGTGATTTTGTCCGTATCTGTTTCTGTGCACGTGGCCGTCTGACCTCTACGCCAAGGTATCCAATTTTAAGAACATCGAAATCTTCGCTATTTAGGCTTCGAAATGAAGACAAACGAATGTTTTCAAGTCCCTGGAAAAGAAAAGATATGTGAAAAATATAACAAAACGACAATATTAATGAAAATAAGAACCTTTCAAAAATCGGCAATTTCCGTTCAAATATAAAAGCAAATTAAATATAGTTTGATTGCGGTATCCTTCTTTTGTTAAACAGGATTAATCTCGACTGTAGACATGTCTGCCCATTCCTGTTTCGCAACCACTTTCGTTGAAGATTATACGCCATTTAACCATATACATGTGGACAAAACAAAAATTTTTTAGCCCAGGGATGCCGATAGAAAATGAAATAATGATTTAATGTGCTTAAAAATTTCCTATCAATTTTACTGCAAGAAACGTTAGATTATAAACTGTTTAACAGTCTTACGCAATGCTAAATTCTCGACATAACTTGAAACTGGAGATTTGCTAGGTCTTTTGTCTTTAATTATTAATAAAGAGGTATTGTGATTGCACATAAATTTTATTTCATGTGAACTTAAATAACATCAATATACGTGAAGTCCTTGAGATATTACCACAACTCCAAATAACAATCATAATCGTAAAAAATGGTGAGTGATGCTGACTTTGATGATTGCATGTAAACGAAGTCATACCATAATGCATTAGCATTTTTCAATGCAACCGTAATATTTCCATTGATGAAGACTTTTAAATACATGTACAATGTACAAAATAAATTTTCAGTGATTGCGAGAAAAAAAAGATGAGATGAAAAAATATCAATTAGGAAATGAAAACGAGTTCAAAATTCATTGTCTACATTTTAAGATAATTGCAAGTACACTTACATGCATATTCCGAATAAAAACGACTTTTGATTAAACCAAATAAAATTCAACAATACATACCTTTTTTGGAACTGCCATTACGTGATATCCTCTCTTCACCATTTTTCTTTTTTAATAATTGGCAACTTTATTATAATAGATAGCTGTTGTGTATGCACTTTGCAAGTTCTTCTTTTCAAACTGAAGTAATCCTAGCTGTAGGTCTTTTTATGTTCCTTTTTTGTGACATCGTCTTAAAGTACTAACCATAAATTAACGACTTAAAATGTCACCATAAGGAGCGCGTGCCAAGGTATGCAAACAATGCTAATTCGTATAATTGACAAAGTGCAACCCAGCTTCTCAAAAGGTGTTAAAACCGTCTTACCCTATCAGGTCAACAATTATGATAACACTTTAATGTATTTTGTTATTGTTAATTATTTGTTTTATTGATCAATTCAATTAAGCAAAGGGTATGAATGCATGCAAAAATGTACGTAAATCTCGTATAAAACTGTTTATACTTATCCTTGATGACATGTGTGATGCTCCACAGCACACATGTACATTTAACAGGTGTAGATTCTACGGTATTACTATATATAATTCTGCAGGAGCGTATATATTATCATGTTTAAGATGCATATGATAAATACACGTACATATCCTTGCTGTATCTTAATTACTTTTTATATCATGGTACCTATAAATTAATGTACATAGATATTGAATATTTCACGTCATGAATTCATCGATCAGTTCTATTAAAAAAACAAAACAAAAAAAAAACAACTGATATTAAAGAACATATTATAATCTTTGAAATAGATCTACATAAAACTAAAAAATGTGCACAATCTTGCATTTTGTAAGCCAGTTTTAAAACCTTTTACTACTGACTGTGGGGGTATACTAATCGGTACTTAATTGGTTTATAAATTGTACCTTTAGAAGTGCAGCAACTGCTTAGAGCTATTTAGTAGACAACTTTTTGTTGATGTTTTTTTTTCACGCAAGAGCGCGCAAAAATTCATGTCGCGTCACTCTAATTACTGCAAGTCACCTGTCCGTGACCACTGATACACACCTGAAATGTACCTGTTCAGATAATTCCCTACCCCTTATCTGGTTGGTTAGTGGGTAGTCATGTGACAATTTTGTTTGACAGCCGCCATATTGTTAAGTGTTACAGGTGAACTGTAGGGTTAAATTTTTCGACTTTTTAAACCATTTAGTCAAAAATGGGAGACTTAGACCTGAAGCCAAGGTTGTGTACCATTAGAAAATGGGCTGATTTTCCAGGATATGGTTTCAATTTGCATGCAGAACGTGGTAGAGCTGGGCAATACATCGGAAAAGTGGACGATGGTTCCCCTGCTCAGGCCGCTGGTATGAAAGAAGGGGACCGAATTGTTGAAATTGAGGGAACAAACATTGGAAATGAGAATCATTCGCAGGTTGTAAATAGAATAAAAGCTGCAGGAGATAGTGTCACTATGTTGTTAGTTGATTCCGAGACTGACAAGCACTATAAAGAAGAGAAAGTTGTTGTCAGCAGCGACATGTCCGATGTCGTCCGAATAGAGACCCCGCCACGCCCAGGACCCGAAGATGACAAAGGTGAGTTGAAAAGGAGTTTTAATGTTAGTACATTGAATGTCAGTTATTGACAAAGGTTCAGCCATGAAAAAAAAACATCTCTGAAATACCAGGTGATTATTGACTCTGCAAGGTTTCTCTCCCTTGAAGCATACAGTTGTATAAGTCCCTATTAAAACCCATTCTCAAACCAAATTTCAAAAAACCCGGCTGTTTATTTTTTTAAAAATGACAAAGTCCTAAGGGGGTGCAATAAAAATTTTTTTTGAAACAGTCTCTGATTCAAAAAAACATGATAAACTATTAATAAAAAAACAGGAATTTTTATAAAATTCTTTCCTTTTAAAAATAAAACACCATTAACTTTTAAAAAATATTATAACAAAAATTAAACGAAACTGACGTGTGGGGGTTTTCTTATTTATTATAGTCATATAAAAAACTTCGGGTTAAAAAAAAGCCAAATTTTTAGAAACTTGAAGGGGGTTTAAATTAAATTCTTTATTTTAAAAAGGGGCCATGTTATTTTAAACAGGGGTTTGTTTTCCCAAATAAAAAAAATTTTTTAAAAAAGGGGAAATTTCAGTCAAATTTTTCGAATTTAATAAAGATTTAAATGTACATATGAAAATTTTTTTAAAATTATTTTTTTACTTTATAAGATTTAATCTTAAGTTTAAAAGGGTTAGTCGACTCAAAATGATAAAAAAAACTTAATTTAATTTTGGCATTAACATGCCCGTTAATTTAATCTAAAGAAAAAAAAAAACAAAAAACAAAAGGCAAACCACCTATCAGGCCCCCAATTATTTTTCCCTGAAAAAACTACAACAGTATTCAATAACAACAAAGGGAAAAAATGAATTTTTAAATTTATTAAAAATTTGTTATTATTTATCTTTTTTAAATTCGGATCTAAATTTAAATAGAAAAAAACTTGTTAATATTAAGAAATAAACCCTTTTAAAACCCTTTTTAAAATTCCCCTTTTTTTCCTAAAATTTGAAAAAATCCTTATTTAGGGGCCCTAAAATTTTTTTTTTTTTTCAAAAATTGACCCTTTTTGGGGCGCCCCTCAAAAAATACATAGGGGGTTTTTGGCCAAAGGGGATGTTTCCCCTTCTTTTGGGGGGTTTAAGGGGGGCGGAGTCCCACGCAAAAAAATTTGGCTTTGGGAAAAGGTAAAAATGGCCCCAAAATCGACAAAAAGGTAACGGTAACAATCTAAACCCTTTGACCATCTCGACCTTAAAAGGCGATTTAAAATCATTTTATGGAAAAAATCAACAAAATGTGATTTTGGCTATTTTGGATTCCCCTATTGCCATGGAAAGGAAAATTTAAGAGTTTTTTTAAGGCATGTAGTAAATTTTTCCAAGTTTTTGATTATATGACATTTTTAAGTTTTAAACAATTAATTTAACGGGGATTTTTTCAAGAAAAAGCCATTTTTACAAAAAGAGGGGTTTTTTGGGTTAACATTTTGTATTTAAAATGAAAAAAAAAGATTAATGCAAATTTCTTTGGGGTTTTAAAACATGTTCTCACCCCATTAGTTTTAAATAAACAAAAATTTTCAAACCCCATTATTTTTTCTTTTCCTTTTTTTCATAAAAAATATTAAATATCTTTTTTACAAGGATATACTTAAAAATTTTAAATTAGAAAAAATGTTCAGGAAAATAAATTTCCATAAAAGGCAAAATTTAAGTGCCTTGGTATTTAAATGTAAAAAAGTAGGGAAAAAAAAAAAAGTTTTCAACCTAATTTATCAGTTAAAAACTTTTCACAATTGATAAAGAACCTTTTTATTCTGTTTGAAATTTATATATTAAAAGCCAACAATTGGCCAAAAATTTCTCTTTTTAAAAAAAAGAAAAATTTAATTTTCATAAAAGTTAAACAAGTTAGATTAAATTTTTACGTTGCTTTGAACCTTTAGCCGATTTTTTTTATAATTTTAAACCATTTTAATTAAGGTCAACAGGCAAAAAAAAATTTAATTTTTCTAGAAAATACAAACAATGGGAAAGGGTCGAAATTTTAAAAAAACAAATTTTTGAGTCCAAATATAATTAAATGGTTCAAAAAATCTTTGAAAAATATTTAGATTTTTAGTAAAAAAACTCTTTGGTCCTTTAAGTTTATAATAATTCCCAAATATGTTTTTTTATTTATTTTTGAAAAAAGTTTGACTATGACGCTTTTTTAAATTTTTGCTTATTTTACTAAAAAAATAAAACAAATTCTTTTTACACAAACTTGAAATAATTTGGAGAAAATGAAAACTTAGACAAAATTTTCCAAATTGCTAATAAAAATCAAAACTTTTGCTCTTTCACAATGTTTTCTTGATGTAATTTGTTGCAATGTTTTTATGTATGATTCATAGATTTCTTGGTGCAGTATTGATTACAAACAAACAAAGTGCAAAAATAGAAGACACTTTTATTTTGCATATGCTGGTGTTGTGATAGCCACCCAGCTGTTTATAGGTGAATCATTTGTTTTGTAAACTTTATTGTAGAAGTTTGATAACATTTGATTGATGATCAGTGATCAAAAGCTTTCTATGACTCATAATGTATCAATTAAAACATACATTTTTGTGTATCACATGATAAGAGCACAAAAAATTAAAAGACAATTAGACAAAGCTTAATTGGTTAAGTTGTACTTGTATTTTCAAAGTACAATTAAATATGTTGGTTGACTCCTCCTCCAAGAACTGTATATTTGTTTCTGTTTGTTGGTAAGTTTATAGGTGATCCATAATTTTTTTCAAGTGATTATGAGTTTGGAATTCTTACATTTGAATCCTTTAATAATGCATTAATGTGATATAAAAAGTGCCAAAGGCTTTCTTATGAGCTCCAATTTGAATTTTTGATTGAAAGAACAAAATGGTCCTATACTTATTCAGTTTAATTTATTAAAACAACACTCCCATTTTAAATTGTCAGAATACCGGATATAGATAATATAAATTGATAGAGTGGCCATGACTTCAGTTTGATAACTTATCATACTTATTTTTGCTTTGCTTTCTAAACTGTTGAGATAATGCATTCTTAACAATGTGCATTATAATATAATATGTTAAACTTATTTGACAAGTTTTAAAGTTAAAAAAAGTTAGTAACTTACATTTAATAAGGTGCTTTTATTGGGACTTAAATTAAACAAATACTGTTTAGAATCAAGGACAGGGTAGAATCTATGACACTAGAAAAAGACTGTTCATTGGCTCTTTTCAACTGGGTGGAACAGACAAACCTTGTCATCTCCCTGTGGTGTTTTCAGATTAATAATAAGCATTCAATCAGTGAAAATGTTGTCCGGTTTTTTGTATGACTATTGATGGATGAATAACCTTAAAAGTTAGATATTAAACCTTTTAGCCTCCTGATTGGCAATTTATGCTTCCTATGTGACCAATTGCCGACTGTGATCGACTTAGTATCACCTGTCATACTTGTCCTGCTTCCATGATCATGGTCTGCAATGTTGGCTATTCATGCAGTCTGTATTTATATAGAAAATTTCCTTTTAAAGGACCAACTGTTTTGTCCAGATTTGCAAGATAGACCTTTCCATTTCAGATATTTAGGATTGTTCTGGTTAATGACATACAGTGAGTAATTCTAAATGATAAAAAAAACTTTGAGGATAATTATATCAACTTTCTAATGTTTTTATTTCAAATCCTAGATTGAGAAGCTAATGGAAATATTCTCTGCCCACTCACTCATGTATAAACGGCTGAGGTGGGTGTGTTAAGTTAGAGATGGCAGTGTAATAAAAGTAAATGTTGACTGATTGATTATAGTGCCTTCAGATCGCATAGGATGCCTGGCAACCTGTTGTCAAATTTAGTTTGACCAATGTTATAAAAATATAGATAAGGTGCAAATATGGACATTAATTGGGTTACTCTATATAAGAAGATTTGACGGGGCCTTGATAAGACTTCATTAAAACATAACTCTGTTTCTCAGCTAGATAGACAGAATTTCTTTAACAATTTCCTGTGTGTGAACTTGTGTCTTCTAAGGTTAAAACTCGCCACACTTTCAGTTGATAATGAGTTTTCATTGATTTTAACAAATGATTAATGATGTCCTAGTTTTTATAGAAGAAAAATATTGATGAAAATTTTGTTAAAGATTATTTACAGTTTACAGATAGATGTGTCTGTCTTGATATAGACTTAGGCAGGAAATCAAAAGCACTGCATAATTGCCTAGGCAGTGTGTCTATCCCTAATGGGGATCTCTCTGATGGGGGACAAGGCTAAAATCCCTGGTCATTTAGGGGACAATCCCCAACACCACAGTGTAGTTTACTGGTGCATAATATCATGCATTAACAACAGTGACTTTAAGTTTTCAAGTGTTGTTTCCATTATTTGCCTATTAAGACGGTTCCTTACAAATTCATTTTTATTTCACTTTTATTGAACATGAATCAGCTCAAAAATGATGTAAAGAAAACCAATTTGCTATAATTATAATCATCAAATTCATGATTTATACATGATTAAGGCCATCCTTAAAAAAAATGTTTGTTTGCAGTAACTCGACCCAGAGTTTTCAAAAAAGGTGGTAGGTAGGTCGATTTTTTTTTTTTTTTTTTTTTTTTTTTTTTTATTGAACTGTACTCCCAAATAAACATGGAATTTCAAAAAATGCTGGACAATATATGCTTTAATAATCTGGTAACAATTAATAAATTGATAACTGAAATTCTAATTTAATAAAAACTACATTTTATTTCTTCTATTAACCTTTAAAAGAAGGAAAACAAAGCACAGGGCATAATTTTCTGATTTCCAAAAAAATTTTTTTTTTATCCAGACCATGAAAAAACATTTGAGTAGGGCAAATTTTGTGATTTGGTCGCGTTACTGCAAACAAAACATTTTTTTTAAGGATGGCCTAAGGTACCCGTACATGTATTAATAAATGACAATGTAAATACTGTTAAATGAACTGAATATGCCATGGGAAAATTATCTTTTTTTTCAATTTTTTGGTTTTCAGTAATTATTCAAATAGAATTGATTTAATAATTTATCAAAAAATTGGTTTTGGGAACAAGTCTATCTTTGGTTAAATTTTTAAAAAAGAACCATTCATTATTTTTTCATTCCAAAATATTGTTTTAGTTTTCAATGAATTCACAAATTTAGCTGTTTGATACAAGTAAAATTTTTCAAATATTTTTTAACCCAATTTTGCAAACTCAAATTTTTTTTCCAAAATTGTCCCAGGGAATGAAAAATAAAACTCCACTACATTTTAATTGAATAAAGTGTCTTTTAGATCATTTTTTTATAAAGTTTCAACAAAAATGACAAACCCCAAAAAAAACAACTTTTTTTTTGCTGATTTATAATAGCCATGGAATTAATTGCTGGTAATGTTGGTTATTCATATAATCATACAATATTGTGTCCTTTGTTTGAATAATTTTGAATTGAAATTTCAATATTTTCATTTTTATGCAAAATAATCAGTAAATAATTGACAAATTTATAATGCAGTAATCTATTATTTTTACTATTTTCTTTAAATTTTAAATTATGCTAAAACGCCCCAAATTTGGAACAAATTTATTTTTATATTAATTGGTGATTAATACAACATACTTTTTTCTGTAAATGATGTATGTGTATGTCATATGTCCATAGTTTTGATAGGTTTTGTAAGTGGGTTGTTTTTATCCACAAGGCCAAGCATATTTAGTATTAGTTACCTCAGATGAATGTTGAAAATTCTGATTTAATACAGTGTGTTTATGATTATTATATTATTATTAGAATAACATATTAAGATTTGTAATAATTGTCTAAAGAATAGTTAAGTATTGTAAACAGTTTGAGATGGGTTTTTACTTGCTCATAATAGTTGACCATACAACAATTTTCAAAAAATTTAAAGAAAGAAATTGTCAGGTTTCTATAGTAACAGTTTAAGCGCTGAATATATTAATATTTTATCAGTCATAAAAATCCCTGGGTGTCAAATGGTATTTATTATAGAGATAAGAAAGACAAACAAATAATTATAATATAAGGGCCTATGCCCACACTTTATTTTTTGTTATACAGATAACATAGGGAGGTTCCTAGCCACTGTATACTACGCATTACTAACTTTGGTAGATTACACTCATTCTCATTCACTCATTTAAGATTTGTTGTGGTTTAAAAGGCAACTCTGTCTCTTTTATCATCCATATAGCTTCTGGGATTAGCCAAGGATTATTTATCAAATTGCCGGAATTTTGTTTTCAAAAGATCTAATGACATTTTGTCATTGGCATATAGAAAGGGATTTATCAAAATTTGATCTATAGGGGAGTTGTTTGGTATTTTTGAGAACAAAGTGGAAGTTTAAGGAATAGATTACATGAAATTGAACACTGAAATAGAATACTTTGATATTTGTGCCACTGGAATTGAATAGATTAACTATTAGTTATTTAAATTATTGACCAACAAAATTGCCTACAATTTAATATTTAACTCCTCAAGTACTTGATCGTTTAATAAATTAAGACATTAAATAGCTAACTTTACAAAATGGAAACACAGGCCGAAAATGGATTAAGTGCAACAGAAAATGCAGTAAAAGTAGATAATGATAATGAAGTAAAACAAAGTCAGGACAAAATTGAAAATGCTGAAAATGAAACTGTTGCTGAAAATGGTAAAAATGAAGATACAAAATCAGATGTTGAGGATGATTTAGAAGATAATGTAAAGAAATCATATGAAAAAGATAAAGATGAGCCAGTTGAGGAGGTTGTTTCAGAAGAAGCTAAGGTTAATTCTGAAGAGACAGAATTAAATAGAGAAAACCTAGATAATGAGGAAAAGGAAAATGCTGGTATATTTCATTATATAAATTACTATAGAATTAACTAAGTAATTATAGCTTTCATTTTGAAATAAACAGGGAGTCAACAATATTCTTCTATGCTCTTCATAGAATTTAATAGAAGTTGTAGACCTTGTATTATATAAGATTAAAGAACAAATTTTTATTTGATGTCTCAATTTTTCTCTGTATGTAACTATTGTGCTCATTTGGAAATAGTTTATCAAATTATCGAGAAACTGTGCCTTGCATTTACTTGTACGTTCTTTTCCATTAAAATATTTTATGACAGTAATGAGGATTTATTAGTTAATCTAGATTCTAATGGGAAAAGTTTACTTCAAGGGAAATCGAAATACTTAAAATGACTGTTTAGTTGCATTTAATTCCATACATTTTAAGTTAAATTTTAATTATAGAAACTGAAATAACCAAAAAATACATTTAAGTGCATGTTTAAAAATTATAGTCCTCCGAATTTGTGTTATAGATTTGTAAATTAAAAACAATAGATATCAGGAAAAAATTAAAATTAAAATCTTGAAAGTATAATAGAGATCATATGAGCAGCGTCACGACAAAACCAACATAATGTGTTTGCGACCAGCATGGATCCAGACCAGCCTGCGCATCCGGGCAGTCTGATCAGGATCCATGCTGTTCGCTTATCAACACTATTACAAGTAGAGAAACTGATAGCGAACAGAATGGATCCTGATCAGACTGTGCGGATATGCAGGCTGGTCTGGATCCATACTGGTCGCAAACGCATTACGTTGGTTTTGTCGTGACGCGGCTCATATAACTTGATGTGTGTATGACTCATGACATTGTGCGGGTGTTGGTTAAGAGGTTATGACCTCCCCCTTCACTGGGATTTGGCTAGTATTTGAAAACCTCTAAGATTTCAGTATCAACTTAAAGAGCTATCATAGTGAAAAAATCTGAAAATTAGCACAAAATTTGACTTACACCGGGGACCCCTTGCGAAATGCTGAACTCCCTTTGAAATGTCTAATAGACATTGCAATTTTGTGGCGCTCTTTAGTAAAAATCTTTTATCTGCCCCTGCATCTTAACCCTAACAATAATGCTTAATTTGTATTTAATTTGACTTACCCGTCTTTGAATTTCAAACGTAATATTTTGATAATGGTTTCAATTTCAAAAGCAGATAATGGTCTGACATCACAGACATGTAGGCTGACATGAAGGCTCAAGTATTTTTTAAGTGTCGTGAAACTATGTTACCCCTCAAACATTGAATTTTTCTATTATTACATAGATTTAGCTGACTTTGCAAAAAAACATCTTATTATGAAGAGAATTAGAATTTTAAATTCATTGTTTTACATGAATGTGCAATTAGATGATAGTAATTTAAATTATATATTCATAGACTTGTTAAAATAGTTCATGCGGAAAGTATAGACGGAGATAAAGTTTTAATGCGGCATTGCAGTGTTAGTGTATGTAAAATATACCCATCTTCATTCCTGAAATGTGGACTCATCACATCATGAAACAAGTCTTACTGCTGTCTAATATTTCATTAACTTAAAAACTGATTTGAATATTGTTTACAGCAAGAGAATAATATAGAAAATTAAACTGGTTGTTTCAAAGGCTCTCTTAAAAGTTGAAATGTAAGACCGTGTGTCTGCGTAACTTCTTACGGACTCACCTGAAGCTGTTGTCAATTGAAATCCTGTTAGCTGCCTTAAATATCTATTTTGATATCAAAACCTCTTAACTTCATTATCTAAATTTCAGAGATTATTTCTCATTTGATGGAACTATAGTAAAACTCACATGTTTTGAATTGATTTGATGTGTTTTTGCCTATATTTTCTTAATATAAAACCTATATAAGTCCCCATGTCTGGAAGTTTTTACTTGAACTTTGACTTAACCAAGTTCTTCAGTGCCTTGAAACACAACAAAGTAAATTTTCTCCATAAATGTACACATGAATTTTAAGATCTTCTCTGTCAGTGTCTGTACTTATTTTGGTAATGGACAGACTGGTCCGTTTTAATCTTCCCTTTGACACCTACAATTTAATAGGACACAGTCTGTGTTACATTGATAATGTACCAGTCTACTTCCTAGTACAATATAACGAAATACTTTTGCATCCAATGCCTGCTAGTTTACTTGGTGTTTGCACAATAATCCAGCAGTCAGTACTGGTTTAATATGACACTAAATTATAGGATTTCAGAATCGAATATTCTATAATTACTTTAGTGACAGGCACACAAACCTTGTTAAATGCTTTACAAATTAAGCTGCTTTTTTCCCATGAATTTGACTGTGTAGTTTGTATGGAAGATTCTATACATGCATAAGTTTTTGATTTCATAAGGCTGGCATGTTGAAAACATTTTTAAAATGTGGCCTCCATGACTTAGATATCTGTGTGAATTAATTTGAATAGGATTATTCTTGCATATCAGACTGCCGGAAATTTTATATGGCAATTTGAAGTGTGCTGGATGAGTTGCTTGCTTTATAATATTGTCATTTAACAAACTGCATTAACATCATTTCGTCTTTTAATGAATGAAGTTGTAAATTTCTATGCTTGATTTCTATGAAAAGTTAATTTATTGTGGTAAACCATTTAAAATAAGGTAAAATATGCAAGAAAAAATAAGTAGAACAGTTTAGTCTAATGGTCATTTGAGATAATTTGTTACTTAAGGTATTTGTCAGGTGATTTTTCTACAGTTTGACGCCTTGGTTATATGGGGACTTAATTCAAACTCAAACTCAAATAATTTTATTGCGTAATGAACATACAATATATGTTTATAGCACATACAACATAACTATAGGCAGAAGACATGGATTTTTCAAGGAGCACAAAAATACAATGTAAAACATATGAATTCATAATTGTGACGTGTTTGAAGTTCTGTAAAACTATTTTCTAATCAAATTTGCATAATATAAATATTTAGAAAGATCTCTTACAATTATTTTAGATTCAGACAATAATAAATTAGTAAATTTCTGCAATGTAGGCCATGTATAATTATAAGTAGCGTCTGAGATATTTTTTGCGAAGGTCAGCATATTGTGAGCATGTAAACAAAAAGTGAAATTCGTTTTCAATTTGTCTCGAAGAACAATTATTGCATATTCTTTCCATTCTAGGTACGTTTGTATATCTTCCCTTTTCAATAAACAAGTCGTGAGATGATGTGCGAAATTTTGTAAGCGCAACTCGAAATCTTTTGTCCTTAATATAATCAAGATCACTTTCAAATTCAAATTTATATTTTATAGAACTGTATGTATCTAGACAACTAGAATTATTGATAGAACAATACCAACTTTGATAATAAATATCTCATATGCGTCGTTCAATAATATTGTAGTCAATTAACATGCTATATTGGTTTTGCCAAATATACGAAAGTCCGCATTTATCAAGTATAATTTTAATTTGATAAGCCCAATTACATTTATTATATGTGTTATTTCCTTCAACATCGACTTTAAGCATGTTATAGGTTTTGAAAAGAAGAGATTCTTTTTTACATGTCAATAATTTTATCCAATATTTTACCATTATTAATTGCCTACGAACGGTCATCGGGATTCTAGCTAATTCGCCGTAAAGAGCGTCTAAATTTGTAGAGCGTTTGACAGATAATACTTTTCTACAGAATTTGGAGTGAATGAGTTCAACATCAGGCCCGACATGATGACCCCAGATTTCAGCCGCGTAATTTAACGTAGAAGCTACCAATGAATCGAATAAGTCACATTGTTTGGACACGGGTAAATCAAGTTGGTTAAAAACAATAAGCAAATTGTGTAATGAGTACGAGCCGTGCTGGGCTGTTCGCTTTTGTGTTCGGTTCCAATTGCCATTTTTATATAAATGAACGCCCAAATATTTAAAAGAATCTACTAATTCTATATGATTGTTATTAAGATAAAAATCAAATTTGGTATGTAGGCCTTTTTCAGAAATCATGGTTTTTGTTTTGCTGGCATTAATTAATCATATTAAAGCATCCAGCAGTTATTTAAAAAACAAACAAGGAAACAGTAACAATAAAAAAATGAAAATAAAATAAAAGCAAAAAAGACCCACCTATTCATTATTTAATAATTTGAGGGGATCTATAGTATAGTTTATCATATCAATGGTTATTTTGGTCAATTTGAAATTATATTTAATTTCTGGGTGTTACCTTCTAAAATGAAAGTTATTTGGATTTGTTTATATTTTGTGTGGGTGTTGGAAGGTTATGGTAATCCTATAGGCTCCACCCATTGACAAGACCTAGTGCTGAAGATCATGGTAAAAACACACCTGTCAATGCCATTTGTGGTATGAGTCTGTCTGCCGACCTGCACACATGTGAACTCTGACCTGAAACCCTCTCACATTGGCTTTCGATACTGGGCGCTTTATAATCACTCATATTTCAACAGTGGATAGCAGAATAAGTTCATGAAACAAATTATAAGGCTTATCCCTCGGTCAAACCTGATGCTAAAAATTTATTGGAAAAAAATCAAACCCATTAATAAAATTGAAATAAAGTTTTGATTTATGCATGTATTTAATTTGCATCACTACATGTATATATGACATTTGACTGTAAGTAAAAGTACAGCCTTTTAAAAACAAGATCTTACATGAAAACCAAAAGAAATTGTGCAGGGTTCATTTCAGCTGACTATCAATTGAAAATTTATGTCTTTTTTAAAAAAGCAAGATCGTACATGCGTGAAAAATAAATATTGATCATTTAGCATGATTTACTAGGTGTTACATTTGATCATAAAGAATTTGTAAATTTGTTCACACAAAAAGAAAAATTTATAGATGTTTGATAATGAAACACTTACAGCCTGTAAAAAAAGGTGGTGGTAGAATCTACGAACTTTATTTTGTTTGATGAATATGGTCTTAGTGAACATTAGGAATGTTACTGTACAGTATACTAATTGTCAGGTGTTTATGACTGTATGTAAAGGTACATGGTAAATCATTACTATTAAATAATTCTCTGCTTTTGATTGGGGGTTTAAGTGTCCCTGATGTTGTAAATGTAAATGGCAACATTTAAGTTTTATTGGCAGAGGACTCCAGGACTCGGGCGCACCTCTGTGCATATTTTAAGCATGACCTGGGACTAATCTTCAGCAAGCCATTAAATTCTGCACATGAAAGATCCGGGATTTGAACCCACACAGGTGAAGGTCAAGTGATTCTTATAAACCACACAGCCATATAAATTATATTATTTGAATGTAACATGTAGATGTAACATATTATGCGGTACTTTATTTAAACAAAGAAATATATGAATTCTGATACTGGAAAACCTCAGATGAAGGAAATTTATTATATAGAAAAGTTAATAACACTGAGCAAAAAAATATATTTCCTCATGGGGTCAAGAGTAGAGGAAGTTTTTGGGAAGATTTTGTTGTACCAATCTGCCATCTCTGTATCCAAAGGGACATTAATTTTTGTCTTAGCTACTTGCGGGTTTAAATTTTGAATTTTGCATAACTTAAGCTAACATAACTTATGGCTTTGAATTTTAAATGTGACATGACTTCAGCTATGTCTGGTCGACATGACTTTGGCTACTTAAAAGTTTGAATCTTAAATTTGACATGACTTTTGTCTGTTTTTGCATATGAAGAAAGTTAATTGATCAATTAAGCAGCCGATTTAATGTACAGGCACTTGTACCCAACAATGGAAGTTATATATTATAGTATAAATACAATTTTGCAATAAAATTACAGTTATGAAATAATTAAGTATTTAAGAACTTTATTTATTGTATATTATAACAAATGTGATTGGCTGCTTCTGTGCCTGTCTTTACCTTTGAATTTGTGGGAAAAGACTCAGGGGGCATGGAGATGTGTGACTGAGCTGAAATAAGAACCCATGATGTAAATTAATATGCTGGAATTTCTTCCAGTTAATCTAAATGGTAAAAGCATTGAGATAAGTTTTGATGTAGGGAAAATAGAAACATTGTTTGAACATGTCTGCATGTGAACTGTCATCATGATGATTAAGGTGGGTGATCTATGAATTGTCATGTTATCAATCACCATTGTCCATTGACAGTTTAACACTATAGTGTGCAGACTGTCATACTGTTTGATTTATATGTTTATCATACTATTATAGCTGTTGTAACCTTACACATATAACATCAGTATTGTTTGCAGCAAAGCAACACTCGTAGGAATATTCATATCTTGCCTAATTAACACCAAACCATATACAAAAATATGAATAAATTGCTCAGACACATGAAGGTTCAGTCATGACATAAACATTTGAATGATACATATATAGATTTTTGGTTGGGTTATATGTTGTATCAACACAGATGAGGTCATATGGCAACTTTTGAGGAAGACCTCAGTTGCCCCTACATGCATCATTATTTCAGGCACAAACAGGCACCCAAGTTGAACCATTTCATAATGTAGCTGGTTTATTTTAGCTTCTGTAAATGAAAGAATCCAAAGTCCCTGGTGGGATTTGAACCCTTGGATATTTATGCTGAGGGTTGATTTGAACCCATTTATATTTATGTTGAGGGTTCAGAAGCTGTCTGGGTTAATGCCTAATTCTTTTCTTTCCATTATTTTTGCTATAAGTATTAGATATATTTTACTTACTATCTTGTTTCTTTTCGTCATTGATGAATACAGTATTTGGTCTTTCTTCTGCACAATTTTAGCATTGTTTTTACATTCCTGTTTCATGTGATATACATGGTGGATCATTTCAATTGTGAGAAAACATAGGTGAAATACGGTAGAAGTGTACAACCTCAAACAAACACAGATAAAAAAGATATATAATTATGATTGTCGTGATTTGACAGTGACAGCTCTAGTATACAGCATAATCCTAGAGGTGTTAACTTTAAGTTTAAGATTAATGCACTCAAGACATTTAACATACAAAGATCTGTCTGTGAGTGAACCAATTTGAATTTAAAATTTTGTACCCATTGTTTTGATTGAACGTTGTCTCTTTCATTAATCACATTGGAAGGATTAGTTTTCTATTCTTCATGATTAAACATGTTGACATGTCTGAGAAATTTCTCTTATATTTTGTTTTCAATCCTTCAATTAGTTATGATATAAATTTTTCACCTAAAATTAGCTTTGTCTTTTATGAATTTTTTTCTAAAGATTTGTTTGCCACCATCTGACACTGTCACCGATTTTTTTAAAAGTTGTAAAGCAAATTCTCACTGATAATAGGATAATGCAATCCCCCCTCCACCATTACCCTGAAGCCAGGGCACCTGTACAATAATTAAACACCTGGTACATGGATGCTACTTAATTGAAACATCTACTTTGTGTAAACAAAAAAGGGTTAATTCCTCAATAAAAAAATCATAGATTTTAAAGTTACATTAATATAAAGATATTGTCACAAGGAATTTAGATATTCATCAATAATCGTAGAACTATAGTGGTAGCCTTGTCAGGTTGAACCTGTGCCTAAAAATTGAAAATACTAAATTTAATGAAATACATTTGTAAAAACTATATTATATAATATTCTCCCTAAATGTAAAGCTGTGATAGGATACAAATGTCGTGTAATTTATATACAATCTAAATATTGAAGGAAGTTAAAAAGAAATGAATAGCATATTTCTTTATAAGCTTATTCAGGAAGAGATAATTTATGAAATTAATTATATCTAATATTAGTGGTGGGGCAAGACTGACATTTTCAATAAAAGCTATGTCGGTATTTTATGAATGAAGTCACCTCGATTCCCTCTCATAAAGTTATGCAAATTAAGTATTTGATGTAGAAAATGTGTTAATACTTATGAAGAAAATTATATCATTCCAAAATGAAGCAGGAAACAAGGTATTCAGATCTAGATTTTAATGGTGGCATGCTGAATTTAAGAAAATTTAATCTGATGTTGAACTACTTGTATTTTAACAAAATTTTCAAACCAGAAATGAAAAAAGTGTATAAGGGTGCCTGTTATAAAACATTTTTTCCAGTCCTACTTTTCACAAAGGGGACACAGTAATAGTTATATGGCAACTTTCCAGAAAACCTTGGGTGCCTCTCCATGCATTAATTATGGCACTAGGAGGCACCAGGGATGGTCCATCAGCTGGTTGGCTTTCTTACTTTTGTTATTTGATCATTTTTGGCAGAATTATGGACCTTTGATTTTTCCTAGAATATAAAATTCATGTAAAACCTGGTTCTGTGACATTTTCATATCACATGTTCAATTTCTATTACTATTCTGATGCATAAAAATGCATGATATCATAAAACTGATGGAATCCATCAAGTAATTACAATGTAATGTGAACAGTTCAAAATGAAGTGACCCGCACAAATATTGCAAGTCATAAGTTAGCCACACGAATATAGAAGGATAAGGGTTAAAGTGTTGGAAAAAAGCAATACACATTTAACGCTGCATTAATTGATTTATATGATGCCATCAGTCTAAAAATTGACACAAGACTATATGGGCGTCCACTCAACTTAAACACTCTATTATGATGAGTCTAGAAATTAAATACAGACTGTTCTAGTCAACATAGCAAGACATAGAGTACATAGATTAAGATATTGGAAATGGTTAGATTTCTTTGTGTTATTTTATGTTTAGACTATACTAGTAAAATTGTCTTGATTTATTTCTTCTCTTTGTTTGAGAATTTTTTTTATCTCTATAAGGTGAAGCAGTTCCAAAATATGTATGTAAACTGAAAACTTTTACAATGTATAATATTATTATTTACAATGTATCACACTTGTATTAAAACGTTGTGTATTGTTTTCAGATGATGAAACTTGTATTAAAATGTTGTGTATTGTTTTCAGATGATGAAAAACCAGAATCCGATCCCCCTTCAGAGCCACCTAGCTATAATGATGTGCAGGAAGCTGACCAAGAAGCTGACCAGGAAGACGAAACGCCCAAACCTGACCGAGCACCAACTCCAGAACCCGTGCCTGTAGATACACCTTCACATAACTATCACCCACGTCTTTGTCTCATTAGAAAATGGGCCGACTTTCAAGGCTACGGCTTTAATCTCCATGCTGAGAAAGATAAGAAAGGCCAGTATATTGGTCTGGTAGATGCCAACTCACCAGCTGAAGATGCTGATCTAAGAAAAGGTGATAGAATTATTGAAATAAATGGTGAAAATATTGAAGACGAATCACACCAGCAGGTGATTCAGAAGATAAAGGCAGGAGGTGATCAAACAAAGATGTTAGTTGTTGACCCAGAAGCAGACGAATACTACAAAAATAATGGAATTAAAATTACACCTGATTTGCCAGAAGTGATTTTCAATCAAACGAGGGAAAAAGAAGTATCAGGTAAGAGTGTGAGATGCTTTACAGTGTATTTTGTATATTGATTTTGCTTTGCATGATGCCAGTAAAAATTTAGATAGTTTAAGCTACATGTACCTTTCTTTTGTTGCTGTTAGACTTGTCTTCCATGTTTAGCATACATACATAAAATTCAATCGGACAGTTTGTGCCTGGTGCAGACTTTAACATACTTGTAAATAGCTGAGCAGAGCTGTAACCTAATATGTCACTTATTTTCTGGTATCAGTGGTTTTTCTGACTTAATTGGGAAAAGGCATTAGTCTCTTCATTTTTGGGAAAATATTGCTAAAATTTATTATTTGGGAAGTTAAAAAGTGCTGTAAGTTCAGATTTTTGGGAAAACTGCAAGCCTTTATATGCGTCTGTTATGTAAAACATTGGGTATGCAGAGTAAATGATGCTAAGTATGGAAAAAAAGTTTGTTTTCAACTAATTTATTTTGATTTATGTTGTCGCTATGTATTAAGTAAAAATCATTTTAGTTTTCTTTTTCAAAAATTGAACAGGAATATACAACAAGAGTTCTCATTTATTATTTACAAACACTCTCTAATTTGCCTTTTTGAATCAGAGCGTTCGTCGACCCCCGAACCGGTCTCAGTTCCAGAAACCTCTGAATCACACAATTTCCATCCTCGGCTCTGCCACATCAAAAAATGGCCCGATTTCCAAGGGTATGGTTTCAACTTGCATGCTGAGAAGGAGAAGAACGGACAGTACATCGGACTGATTGATGCCAACTCCCCGGCTGAGGATGCTGATTTAAGGAAAGGCGACAGAATCGTTGAAGTTAATGGAGAAAATATTGAAAGAGATACCCATCAGCAAATTATTCAGAAGATAAAAGCTGGAGGTGATGAAACAAGGCTGCTTGTGGTAGATTCAGATGCAGATGATTATTATAGGAGAAATGGAATCCAGATAAAGGCAGATATGCCTGAAGTTGTTGCCTCAGAAACAAGGCAAAAAGAGGTGCCAGGTATGTTCTTGAATTTTTTTAAAGGATAGGGTGCAATACAAACGTTGTAAGTAGAAACACTTAAAAACCTTTGGAATTTACTTACCCCTGAAATGATGGATTTTTCCTGGGTTTAAAAATTTTTAATATTTCCCTTCAATATTAAAGGATTGTAAAAAATTTTAAAACTCTTTAGATGGGAAAAAACCCAAAATATTTTTAATTCTGGAGTAAGTCTTTTGCCCTGGTGTTGTTTGATATTCCTTTTATTTTGTGGTTTTACATGAAATTTTATTTGCTTTTGATATGCTTTGCATGAGAATATTAGATTTATAGAGCTAGTGTGATGTGTTTACAATGCTCTTTCTTTACTATATATATACAACTTTGATGTATCTTTTTGATTCGTATCTTCAATGATTTTATTTTAGTTTCCTAATTATGTTGAAATAGTGTCCTTATTTAAACAATAATTTTAAGTGGCATTTGGCTGAAGGTGACATGCCAAAGGTCTTTGATGCCCAGAAGCCTGAGTCTCTGATTTAGAATACAAATGTAATTACCATATCGTCACCTTAGTGCAAGAACTCAATATCTGCTTCTTTATCTATATGCAGTTATTGAGTTTTTGCACTAAGGTGACGATATATATTTACCTGATGGTAATGTAATGTCAAGGTTTTGAATAGACAAAAATGACAATTATCCGGATCCTGTCAAGCTGCATTATTGAATAATCATAAGTAGGTATGTAACACCTTTATTTAACAAGGCTTATTCATTTGGTTTTCCTATCATCTATGTTGGCCTCAGCAAATTATCAGGTCTGTTGCCCAGATGGTCCTTTGCCATTATGCCTAAAAATTGTATTGAGAGGTTCAAGCAAAGCTGTCATTGATGATATTGGTGTATCATTGATATTTTCCTGTTGATCTTTATCAATAACTGATGCAGTATTGAAAGAATCATTAATTTATCAAAATACCTAGAAAAGATTAAAAATTCACCAAGCAGGTGCCCTGTCAAAATGACATATCTAAAACTGCAATGTAATTGACACATTTCATAGCAGTAATGATAAAAGTTGCAGAAGGTACTAAATATTAACAATGCATACCATAATTGTATTTACATGAAATCATGAAAACGGGTATAAAAGTGAAATAAAGATAAGTTATACTCTGTCGTGGATGTTTAGCATCCGATATAGATATATCATCAATATGCTTTGGACTAAGTCAATGTCAGTGCCAAGTGACTCCAAAAATTTGTTTTGCAAGAAAAAAACAGGTGAAACAGGAAGATATTAGGTGCCCTTCTGTAAATTATTAATGTTGCACAGGACCAAAATAGTATTTAGTTTATATACAAATTTATTTTAGTTTGATTGTGTTGGAAGCTATAAGCTTATTGAAACATTCTCGAATCTGTTCCTGGAACCAACCAGTACTAAGCAATGAATGTAAAAATTCTTGCCAAAGGAAAAAACGGCTTGCCCCTGATGGGGTTTGAACCCATGCGGTCAGCAATCCTTAGATTACTAGTCTGACAGGTTAACCACTCGGCCACGCCACCACTAAAATAGTATTTGTAAGGCTAAAGACGCAATCAGTTGTCAAAATAAATTTGGCATGTATTACATATCATCAGATAGTTAATTGTTACTATAAAAATGAATATCTATGTTTCCATATGTGGGATGACAATTAAAAACATGGGCAAAACACTAGATGTGTCAAATTAATTGTCTTGATTGAATGTTACGAGCTAATGGATTGGTCAGTCTTCCATCATAAACATGTTGATCTGTTTTTGGATAAGAGAAAAATAGCTATTGTTGAAATATGTAAAAGAAGTTTTGTTGTTATTATTACTTCAAAAGGTTTTGTTTTTTTGGATTACTACAAAATTGAGTTTTTATTCAGTCATGATTAAAAATTTGAAGGAAAGATTTAGTTTCTCTAAAAGAAAGTGTAAGCATTTTGGTCTTATTAAATTTGACATTAAATTTTTACTTTTCTGTTTGTCCAGAAATATATTTAGCACTCATATTGTTTGATTTTTTTTAACGTTTTGTAGTTGATTGGAAGAAAGGGTGTTGTTTTTCTGAAAAAGTTTTTAAATATGTATGATCTAATTCTTGGTGAACATTTTTCTTTAAAAAAAAAAAATGAAGAATTTATGATACAAAATAGGATGACTTAAAGTTTATGCTGTGTCATTTAGTAATAGTCATAATGGTTGGTGGAACATAATAAAGTCTTTGGTTTTTGTTTTTCTTTCATTTGTTTTTTAATGTTGTAAAGTAAGTCTAAAATGTGTATGAAGTTTGTTAACCAGGTTTTCAATTTTGAAAATCCTGGTTATTAGATTGGGGTATGGCGGGCGGATGGGCGGATGGGCGGATGGGCGGGCGTCAAACGAAATTGTGTCCGCTCTGTAACTCTTCAACCCTTTGAAGAATTTTGATGAAACTTCAGACAAATGTTTACCACATCAAGATGACGTGCAGAACGCATGTTCCGCATGGCTGGCTCCAAGGTCAAGGTCACAGTGACATTAACATTGAAAATCCTGTCCGCTCTGTAACTCTTCAACCCTTTGAAGAATTTTGATGAAACTTCAGACAAATGTTTACCACATCAAGATGACGTGCAGAACGCATGTTCCGCATGGCTGGCTCCAAGGTCAAGGTCACAGTGACATTAACATTGAAAATCCTGTTTATTAGTCCCCTACCGGTTTACCGGAGGGGACTTTAGGTTTACCCTCCGTCCGTCTGTCCGTCTGTCTGTCCGTCCGCACTACCGAATAGGGATAGGGGGCCATCTAACTGTAAACAGAACAAAAGAGAACAATAGAGTTCATTCCGTAACAATAGAGTAAGGGGCCATTGGCCCTCTATTAAACAATAGAAAATAACAAAAGAAATGGCCCCTTATTCCATTTTGGCCGGACGTCCGTCTGTCCGTCCGTCTGTCCGTCCGTCAGTCCGTCCGTCCACAAAACTGGATCCCGCGATAACGCAAAAAGTACTGAAAATATTTTAATGAAACTTGATATATGGATAGATGGCAGTATGGAGATTATGCACGTCTTTTTCTTTTCTTCCTATGTTGAAAATTCTGGTTGCTATGGCAACAAATAGACTGAAAATATGGCAAATTTTACACATAACCTGGATCCCGCGATAACGCAAAAAGTACTGAAAATATTTTTATGAAACTTGATATATGGATAGATGGCAGTATGGAGATTATGCACGTCTTTTTCTTTTCTTCCTATGTTGAAAATTCTGGTTGCTATGGCAACAAATAGACTGAAAATATGGCAAATTTTACACATAACCTGGATCCAGTGATAACACAAAAAGTACTGAAAATATGTTTATGAAACTTGACATATGGGTAGATGGCAGTATGGAAATTATGCACATCCTTTTCTTATCTTCCTATGTTGAAAATTCTGGTTGCTATGGCAACAAATAGACTGAATTTCAGGATTTTTGATTCTAGTTTTTAAGTTTTTTCACTATAAGTTCTTTATTTCTTAAGGTATTTTCTTCAAACTTTAAATATAAGTTGCTTGTCATCAACCACATCATATGTGACAAGGTTTACAACTCTAGCACAAAATTTATCAGAATTACCTCCCTTGAACTTAAAATTTTCATGAAAAAAACATTGTTTTTTTTTTTAATAACTTCTTTTTCTGAATGTATCTACTTCAAACTTCATATAAATGTTTCTTATTATCACTCAACATTTGTGAGTGTTCAATACTCTAGCAAGACTATTTCCAGAATTATGCCCCTTTTGAACTTAGACTTTTTTTTGAGAAATTGGTAATTTTTACTCCAACTTCTTCAATCATGATAGGATTTTAAAAATGTTATATTTTGATAACAGGGATGTTTAAAAAATAACTTTAGAGTGTCCTTCAGTCCGTCTGTCTGTACATAAAAACTGTTTCCTGTGATCACTTTTAAAGAACTTTTTCAACAAATTTACTTAAAATAGGAACCTAAGTGAATGGCCAATGGCCCTTCAGAATGTTGCTTGGGCTCTTACCGGTAGGGGACTTATGGATTGCTTGCAATACTATAATAATTGCTTGTTACACTTTGAACTTTGTCCGGGACATAACTCTAAAAGTATAAGAAGTATCAACATGAAACTTTGTAGGCAGATAGATCTCATTGAGTAGGTGTGCAGTGCACAAGAACCGTAACTCTGCCTTGCCTAATTTTTGAATTATCCCCCTTTGTTTATTTTATACTTTGAACTTTGTCCGGGACATAACTCTAAAAGTATAAGAGGTATCAACATGAAACTTTGTAGGTAGATAGATCTCATTGAGTAGGTGTGCAGTGCACAAGAACTGTAACTCTGCCTTGCCTAATTTTTGAATTACCCCCCTTTGTTTATTTTACACTTTGAAATTTGTCCGGGACATAACTCTAAAAGTATAAGAGGTATCAACATGAAACTTTGTAGGTAGATAGATCTCATTGAATAGGTGTGTACAGTGCACAAGAACCATAACTCTGCCTTGCTTAATTTTTGAATTATCCCCCTTTGTTTATTTTACACTTTGAACTTTGTCCGGGACATAACTCTAAAAGTATAAGAGGTATCAACATGAAACTTTGTAGGTAGATAGATCTCATTGAGTAGGTGTGCAGTGCACAAGAACTGTAACTCTGCCTTGCCTAATTTTTGAATTACCCCCCTTTGTTTATTTTACACTTTGAAATTTGTCCGGGACATAACTCTAAAAGTATAAGAGGTATCAAACATGAAACTTTTGTAGGTAGATAGATCTCATTGAATAGGTGTGTACAGTGCACAAGAACCATAACTCTGCCTTGCCTAATTTTTGAATTATCCCCCTTTGTTTATTTTACACTTTGAAACTTTGTCCGGGACATAACTCTAAAAGTATAAGAGGTATCAACATGAAACTTTGTAGGTAGATAGATCTCATTGAGAAGGTGTGCAGTGCACAAGAACTGTAACTCTGCCTTGCCATATTTTTTGAATTATCCCCCTTTGTTTATGTTACACTTTGAAATTTGTCCGGGACATAACTCTAAAAGTATAAGAGGTATCAACATGAAACTTTGTAGGTAGATAGATCTCATTGAGTAGGTGTGCAGTGCACAAGAACCGTAACTCTGCCTTGCCTTATTTTTGAATTATCACCCTTTGTTTATTTTACTTTTTGAACTTTGTCCGGGACATAACTCTAAAAGTATAAGAGGTATCAACATGAAACTTTGTAGGTAGATAGATCTCATTGAGAAGGTGTGCAGTGCACAAGAACCGTAACTCTGCCTTGCCTATTTTTGGAGTAATTGCCCTTTGTTCATTTTGACACTTTGAACTTTGTCTGGGACATTACTCTAAAATTATAAGAGATATCAACATGAAACTTTGTAGATAGATAGGTCTCATTGGGTGGGAAGTGCAGTGCTTAAGAATCATTACTCTGCCTTGCCTTATTTTGAAGTAATTGCCCTTTGTTTATTTTTACTTTTTGACTTTTGTCCTGGACAATACTTTAAAAACTATTAGAGATATCAACATGAAACTTTGTAGGTAGCTAGATATAATTGGATAGAACTGCAATGCTTAAAGAACCTAAACAAAGCCTGGTCTAATTTTGGAGTTATTGCCCTTTGTTCATTTTTACACTTTGACTTTTTACCCGGGACATAACTCTGATATCATCAGGAAACTTTATAGATAGATAGATCTCATTGAATAGAAGTGCAGTGCAAAAAAACATAACTCCGCTTTGCCTAATTTTGGAGTTTTTGCCCTTTGTTCATTTTTTTATACTTTCCTGTGTCCAGAACCTTCTCGGGGAGCATCACCCGGTTCAACCGGTTCTTGTTTATTTAATTATGGCCCTTTGTTTTTTTTCCTTATACAGAATATAATTATAGTGAACACTTCCTCTGTGGCAATTCCTCCTACATTATTCATGTTTACATTGCACATAGTTACATTGTTTGTTGCTTGTATTTGTATTTCAAATACAACATATTTATCTACAATGGTGATAATTGAAAACCTGGTTTCATGGCATTGCCATGTTTCTTGTTTTTTAATTGATTCCATTATAAAGCATCCATTTAGAATTAAAATCTTTACAATTTTATTCCCAAATCTTCAAAAAGCAGTTTTTAAAGATTCTTCAGAATTTTATTTATCATGTTTCTTGTTGGGTTTTCAGCAATGACCTTCCATCCAAGACAGTGTCATGTGATCAAATGGCCTGATTTCCAAGGATATGGATTTAACCTTCATGCGGAGAAAGAGCGTGGTGGACAGTATATCGGTAAAATAGATGAAAATTCACCCGCAGAAGATGCTGGCCTTAGAGAAAATGATAGGATCATTGAAGTTAATAATGCAAACATTGAAAATGAAACACATCAGCAAGTTATTGCTAGAATTAAAGCTGGCGGTGACGAGACTAAGCTACTGGTCGTTGATAAGGAGGCCGATGCTTACTACAAAAGTCGTGGAATTACTGTTACATCACAAATGCCTGAAGTAGAATTCCGGCAGACGGCAAGGCGGTCAAATGCTGGCAGTAAGTGATCCATTCTTTATTGTTTTAATAAAGTTTTTCAGATTAGTGGAGAAGTTGATTATTTGGCTGGTGTATTTATTTGATTGGCTAGTAGTTTGGCCATCTGGACTTAACAGAAATTGAGACTTTTTTTTCTGATAACACTGTCATTATTAAATGAAATTCCATGGTTGTATAGCAGAGTTTTGTGTAGACCAGGTGTTAGAATGGTTGTTATTAAAGTTGATAAAAGTGTATGTCCATATTTGAGTGGTCATTATTTGTAAATAGTGGTTAGTCGTATGTATTCAAGTCCTGTTGATCAAGTTTAGAAGTTTGTGTCATACAGCATTAGCGTGGCTGTTTTAATTTTTGAAAGAATTGTCTTCAGCTATGAAACTCACTTGAATGTGGCATTTGGTTTTCACTATTACAATCTCAGATTGCTGTTTAAAGGAAAAAAGACATTCTTTTTGAGTAGCTTTTTCATTGGTTAGATTTAAATTTTGACTTGTAAGAGACCCCTGTCAACTACAAATGAATTTCTCTGAGAAGTGAAACCTTGGTGGGGCTTCTGTAATTGGATGGTTAAAGTTATTGACTTCAAACCACTTGCCCCATCACTGCCCGACCAGGGACTTTGAATGTGAGGAAGTAGGTGGTTCTTCTCAGGTGCACACAGGGGTAACTGAGGTCTTCATGAGCAATAAAGCCGGACATTTGCCATATGACATATACTGTGTTGGTGTGGCGTAAAATCCAACCAGAAAAATACAAACCTTGGTATGTTTATTGTACTCGAAGCAGTATGTTACCTCCACATTCATTCTGTTCATGCAAATTTCAAAATTGTTTTCAAGCTTTAAATTTACAAATGAAGCCATTCAGGCTAATGTAATTAGACACAGTGACTATTGTTTGGCTTCCACAAATTACCAATACACCATTTAGCCCCTCCTGCATGAATTAGCTATGACGTAAGAAGCAATTGAAGGAATTGATGATAAAAATAGTTGATTCAAAAAAATTTCATTTTCATTTATACTTAATTATGCCCCCATTTCGAAGAAAAGGGGGTATATTGCTTTGCACTTGTCGGTCCGTCGGTCCGTAGACCAAATGGTTTCCGAGTGATAACTAAAGAACCCTTAGGCCTAGGAACTTCAAACTTGGTATGGTGATTGGTCATGACCAGTAGATGACCCCTATTGATTTTGGGGTCAAGGGGTCAAAGGTCAAGGTCACATTGACCTTGTAAGCAAAAACGGTTTCCGATCAATAACTAAAGAACCTTAAAGCCTAGGAACTTCAAACTTGATATGGTGATTGGTCATGATCAGTAGATGATCCCTATTGATTTTGGGGTCAAGGGGTCAAAGGTCAAGGTCACATTGACCTTGTAAGCAAAAACGGTTTCCGATCAATAACTAAAGAACTTTAAGGCCTAGGAACTTCAAACTTGGTATGATGATTGGTCATGATCAGTAGATGACCCTTATTGATTTTAGGGTTCAAGGGGTCAAGGTCAAGGTCACATTGACCTCTTGGTAAAAACGGTTTCTGATCAATAACAAAAGAACCCTTAAGCCTAGGAACTTCAAACTTGGTAATGGTGATTGGTCATGATGACCAGCAGATGACCCCTATTGATTTTGGGGTAAAGGGGTCAAAGGTCAAGGTCACATTGACCTTGTAGGTAAAAACGATTTCCGATCAATAACGACAAAAGAACCCTTAGGCCTAGGAACTTCAAACTTGGTATGGTGATTGGTCATGACCAGCAGATGACCCCTATTGATTTTGGGGTTAAGGGTCAAAGGTCAAGGTCAAATTGACTTTGTAGGTAAAAACGGTTTCCGATCAATAACGAAAGAACCCTTAGGCCCTAGGGACTTCAAACTTGGTATGGTGATTGGTCCATGATCAGTAGATGACCCCGATTGATTTTGGGTCAAGGGTCAAAGGTCAAGGTCACATTGACCTCTTAGGTAAAACGGTTTCCGATCAATAACGAAAGAACCCTTAGGCCTAGGGACTTCAAACTTGATATGGTGATTGGTCATGATCAGTAGATGACCTATTGATTTTGGGTCAAGGGTCAAAGCGTCAAGGTCACATTGACCTCTTAGGTAAAACGGTTTCCGATCAGTAACTTTAAGAACCCTTAGGCCTAGGAACTTCAAACTTGGTATGATTATTGGTCATGACCAGTAGATGACCCCTATTGATATTGGGGGTTAAGGGGTCAAAGGGCAAGGTCACTTTGACCTTGTAGGTAAAAATGCTTTCAAATCAATAACTTAAGAAACCCTTTGGCCTAGGAACTTCAACATGGTATGGTGATTGGTCATGACCAGCAGATGACCTATTGATTTTGGGGTCAAGGGGTCAAAGGTCAAGGTCACATTGACCTTGTATGTTAAAACGGTTTCCGATCAATTAACTAAAAACGCTTAGGCCTAGGAACTTCAAACTTTGTATGATGATTGGTCGTGACCAGCAGATGCCCTATTGAGTTTTGGGTCAAGGGGTCAAAGGTTAAAGTCATGACCAGTAGATACTGGATAACCCTTATTAATTGTTTGATCACTGGGTCAGAAGTCATAATAACCTTATCACATGACTAATTGGCTGCTGATAGGGGGCATACATGTTTTACAAACATATCTTGTTTATTTT